CATAACAATAGATGGTAGCGAACAGAAAACAATCAGTTTTCAAACATACCAGTATTTCATAAATATTGTCATATGCATAAGAAAGGCACAACATTAAAACCATAAAGCAAACAAATAAATCAAGCAGCAAGAGGTTGTGCCCATGATCCAGCATATCAGAGGTACAAGCACAAGCTTGTTCATCATTTGTTTTGACTCTGCCAGCAGTCACTAGCAAAATCTCACAAAGAATAGGACAGCACTGAAAATTCAAAACTTAAAAAGACACTTGCATATAGATACAGCATGCAGGCTCTATTTCATCACTAGCAAAAATGCATACTAATAGTAGCAACTGGATTGAAAAACAGTGCTGGGATTTTGCTCTATTAGATAGTGTTCTTTTGCTCTTGCTATCTGTTGTATTTTTCACGGAAATAAGTAGAAGGCATTACTTTCAGATCGACCAACATACGTTCCTTATGAAGACAGACAGATAGATAAGTAAATAATTTTCCCTGATAGCTTTTTCCTCATGCTTCCTATAGGTTGTGCTTTCTTTCTTCAGATATTTCAACAACTTACATTTTCCTCCTATTACCTTTTCTACATTTTCTTCTGCGTGAAGTGTCAGGTCCCCTGCACTTGGGCCACAGCAACCCCATGCAATGTTGCAGGCTTGGGGCAGAGTGGCGGGAAGTCTGTGTAGAGGAAATGGACCTGGGGGTATTGACTGCTCAGCTGAACATGAGCCAGCAGTGTGCCCAGGTGGCCAAGGCAGCCAATGGCATCCTGGCTTGCATCAGAAACGGTGCTGCCAGCAGGAGCAGGGAAGCAATTGTCCCTCTTTACTCAGCATGCTGAGGCCGCATATCGAGTACTGTGTTCAATTTTGGGCCCCTCACTATAAGAAAGACATTGAGGCACTGGAATGTGTTCAGAGAAGGGCAATGAAGCTGGTGAGGAGTCTGGAGTGCAGGCCATATGAGGAGTGACTGAGGGAGCTGGGATTATTTAGTGTGGAGAAGAGGAGGCTTGGGGGAGACTTTGTCACTGTCTACAACTTCCTGAAAGGAGCTGGTAGTGAGCTGGGAGTCAGCCTCTTCTCTTGTGTAAGTAGTGACAGGACTAGAGGGAATGGCCTCAATTGCACCACGGGGGATTCAGGTTGGATGTTAGGAAATACTACTTTCCTGAATGAGTGGTCAGGCACTGGAATGGGCTGCCCAGGGAGGTGGTGGAGTCACCAACCCTGGAGGTGTTCAGGGAACATTTAGACATTGTGTTGAGGGACACGGTTCAGTGAGAACTATTGGTGATAGGTGGATGGTTGGACTGGATGATCTTGTAGGTCATCCTTTGTGATTCTATGACCTATTTCCAGACAGCCATTTGCCTTCACTACTGGCCTTCCCTGACTCATCTCACTCCCTCCTCTCTTTTCAACCACAACTTTGACCAGCTGATCTAGGCTTCTCAGCTGCAGCTCTGCTTCTTCCTTTTGGCAGCTGATGGTTCAAAGATATTTCCACCTGGACCAGCAGAAAGAACAAAAGGGAACTCTTCTTCTACGACATATCCTAGAGAGTCACTACTCACTCTAGTCTACTAAGTTAGGTTTCATTCCCCATAATATACATTTTTTCTCTCCATTTATATTGAGAAAACACCCACAAAGCCAGCAAAAGCAATACTTGGTGCAGGAAAACAGCTTATGTTGGATGAGCATTTCATATCATTCCTGTAAATTCTCCTTTTTCCTATTTTTATTCATTGCAATTTAAGTATAAATCAGTTTACTGTTATCAACACCATACAGCCTTGTTTGAGTGCTAGTCTTAGCCTTCCTGGTTAGTGTGATGGAGATTTCTTCCCTAGCATGACTCTCCAATATCTCTAAACCCAAATGCAGATGATATATAAGCCCTTTTGAAGGTTCTTAAAAGTTCTCCTCAGTTAGCTTGATCCTGTAAGTCTGGTCCCACCACGAACAACATCCTTCAGCAGCTCCACAGGATGCTAAATTAAGGGAGCATGAGGAGCTTTCAATAAGCCAGAAAAGCTCTACCGCTCATTTTTTTTTCCCATTTCAGCATTCCCAGAAACAGAAGATAATTCTGTCAGGATGCCAGTAGTCAGAGGGAGAGATCACTGGCAACTGCCTTCTGCTGCTCAGAGAAGGGGCTCAGGAGCTCCTCCACCCATGTTCACGCCTGTTATCCACACAACTACAGAGTGCTTCAGTGGGCAGGGAAGGGGACTTCACCCCTTCCAGACATTCCAGACAAATGTTTGCTTTTTCCTAAAGGGGCAGTGAAAATGCCCAGAGTAACCTACAAACTATTACACATAATTCAGCATCTTCATTTAGATAAAGTCAACCACTGCTACTCCAGCTAAGTACTGGGAATTCTGGGAGACTTAGAATTCTGAACTTTTTTTTTTTATAGATGCAAAACATTTGCTTTTAAGAATTCAATTCAATTACAGATATCCAAGATAACTCCGTGTTTACCAGACTGTTCAGTGCACAGCCACTACATGCAGTATATTGATGTTCTGATCAGTAGTCTTTGGAAATCTTCCATATACTGTGCACAGACAATTTGTATTAGGAACTAGGGTACCTTGTACTACTTCTGAATACTAGAGTAGCTTTTGATGAGTGAACATCTTTTATTTTGAAATTGTCCTCCTTCAGTCTGTTGCTGCATATGTTAAAAGACCCCATAAAAAGCAAAATTACACTAAACTAGATTTAAAAGTGTCAAGAGTATTGAATAAACATTGGAGACATCAAAAATCTGAGTGGATGCTCCTGATGACAAGTGGTGTGGGAACACCAGCCTGTGCTGAACCTGATACAATTCCATTTCCATCTATTTATTGAAAGTGGTTCACGGAAGTATTTCTGCATATCGGTGTCACCTATCCATTCCTAGGCACTGAATAATTTGGTATAAAACCAAGTGAAAGAATCAACATATTTTTTTGTAGAGTATCAATGTCGTCTACATTTCCTTAAAAAATAAAAGTAAAAACAATATTAAGAAAAAAAAAAACAGAGAACTTTGAAAACATTTGCTTTTGATGTCTTGAGTCTATCTTCTCCTTCACAGATTGCAGACAACTTCGACCAACAAATTCTATTATTGGAATAGAATTTGCGGTCTCTGTCTTGCACTAGGGCTGCCTATGCAGGATATGGTGAAGTTGAGCATTTTGAAATGGGATTTACATACTTCCTGAACTAGCCAGTAGGAAATACCAAGCAGAGGCCAAAAATGATCCAAGGGATGGATCACCTCCCCTACAAAGACAGGCTGAGAGATCTTGTTCAGCCTGAAGAAGAGAAGGCTCTGGGGAGACTTCAGAGTGGCCTTTCAGTATCTAAAGGAGAGCTGTAAGAAAGAAGGGAATGGACTCTTTAGCAAGGTCTGTGGTGATAGGGACACAACAAACAGGAAATGGTTTCATAGAATGGCTTAGCTTGGAAAGGACCCTAAGGATCACCAAGTTCCAGGCCCCCCTGCAACAGGCAGGGCCACCAACCTCCAAATCTGGTACTAGACCAGGTTGCCCAAGGCCCCATCCAACCTGCTCTTAAAAACCTCAGAAACAGAGCAACCACAGTTTCTCTGGACAACCTGTTCCAGCACCTCACCACTCTCTCTGTAAAGAACTTCCCCAGACATCCAATATAAAACTTCCCTCCTTGGGAAACTCAAAACCATTCCCCCTTGTCCTATCACTGCCTACACCTGTAAAAAGTTGAGTCCCCTCCTGCTTATAAACACCTTTTAAATACTGGAGGGCTGCAATGAGGTGTCCTCACAGCCTTCTCTTCTTCAGGCTGAACAAGCCCAGCTCCCTCAGTCTGTCTTTATAGGGGAGGTGCGCCTGCCCTCTGATCATGCTCATGGTCCTCATCCAGACCCCCCCCCAAACTGAAGAGTTTCAAACTGAAAGAGGGGAGTCTTAAATTGAATATAAGGAAGAAGGGCTTTTTTTTTTTCCCCCCAACAAGAACAGCAGTGAAGCACTAGAATAGGATGCCCAGAGATGTTGTGGATGCCCCCTACCCTCAGGCATTCAAGTTCAGGTTGGATCAGGTTCTAAGCAGCCTGACCTAGCTGTAGGTGCTGCTGTTGATTGCAGGGGAGTTGGACTAGATGATCTTTAAGGATCCCTTCCAACTCAAACGATTCCATGATTCAGGATGTGTCCAAATCATATCTAGGTTGGAACCAAGACAGCACTTAATAGCCCATAGCCACCTCTGTATATAAGACTGGTTTACACTTCTCTTTCAAAACATATATGGAGAAAAGGACAATGTTATCATCTCTAGCTGCTTTCTTCCCCCATCCACATCCCTCTTTTTTATTTTTTTTTTATTTTTTTTTTCTTCCCCTTTTTAATTTCCCCTTCCAAAATGCTAGTTGCCCTGAAGCCACATTTTGCACCGTTGCTCTTCACTGTGACATACTTTTGTGCATCACAGGTCCCAGGATCTGGTCTTTACTTCTTGAGGAACTTATTTAACACTGAATGTAATATTACTTGCCAAACATTTTGGCAATAAGCTAACTTCCATGGAGGCAGCCCTTGTGGGTTAACGCAGTTGACGAACTGTAAACACTAAGGGAAATTTACTGACCAAAATTAGACACCAGAAGTTTCACAGATCCAAGAACATCTTCACAGATCACAGACTGTGATGTCTGAGTGCCACTTTCGGCACATAAGAGGGTTGTGTGAGGTCTTATTTTATCTGGGCTAGGTAGTCCAAATATAACTCTCTGCATTTATGAGAACAATTAAGGGGTCTGAGAGTATTATGCAGAAGTTTCTAAAATGACCTGTTCAATTTTTCTTTATCTGATTTCTAAAGAAGCATGGTTTCATTCCATTATGATGAGAAAATTATGCTAGACACAATACCCCATACAATTAAGTTTACTATACATTTGTATACCAATCAGGGTCTTATCTGTTATTTCTGACTATAGTTCCCTGCACATTATCCTTTCTACTCACTTAATCTGTCTGAGCCAGCAATTAACAATATTTTACTCGAGAGATTAAAAAAATGCCTTTATATTCACAGATGTCACAACAGTCAGACTAAAAAAAAATAATGATTTCAATTATACTGCTTCACATACAGAGAGCACTGTACAGAAAACATAAAACAGAACTAAATAATCAGTGCCTGCCTTGGTGGCCAGCAGCCCCCGAGTCTCTGTTGTTTATGGTATCAAAGCGAAGGCACCTTAACAAGGCCAGCTTGCTCTTCGCACTGACTGATGCATCAAAGCCTAAGGTTTGGAGTCTCCAGCGCCTGCAGCGCCTTGCAGCCCACAGCAGAGCAGGACCTGGGTATCACATGGGCAATTAGCTGCAGAAACACATCCTCATCTTCAGTGCTTAGCCTAACAGGACAACAGATGGAGAAAAACAGCTAGAAATGGAGTTCTCAAGACAAAAAGCACTCTCCCAAAGAGCTTATATCATCATCATTAGGAAACACCAGGGAAGATTATTAGCCTCTGCCCCCTCCCCCAGAGGCTTCCTTGCTTTAGCATCCTCTAAACAGCAGAGAAGGAAAATCCATTATACTCCCACCCACAGACTTGAGGTCCCAAGCAGGGATGGAAGGGACAACGGGCATAGTGGGACTCCTCAGCTCAGTTCAGGCTTTCAGGAAGCAGAGCACAGCTGTCACACCGCAGCAGGCAGGAACAGCTCACCTTCCTATAGCAGAGACAAGGGCTCCACACGTTTCTTGGCACTTCAAGAATGAAAAGCTCCTCCACACTTGTACAATTCAGGTGGAATACTGCCTCCACTCCCATCTCTTCCCATACTGGGAGCGCTCACTTCAAAGCATAAACTACTGTTGTTACTAATTGCGTTTTCTCATTTTTTCCTAAAAACAAAGAAGCAAACAGAAAAAAAAATCCTCTTTGCCAAATCCCTTTCAGATCTTCATTTCATAGTTTGGATGCACACAGGTCACACAGCACATAAAGTGCCAGCTAGAAGCCTCCCTGTGTGGAAAATTACTGGATAGTCACACTAACATTTCTGCACAGATTTTGGAAATCTCAGCTCTACAAAAGAAGCTTCTAGAACAACAACAATCAGGCTCTCATGTCAGGAGAGCATCAGCTTCTCCTTATTACGTCCTTGAAACTATAAAACAAAACTAATGCACGTTTATTTTATTCCTTACTATGACTTCTCAGAAAATATGAGACTGAAGTCCCAAACTCAGTATATTCATTAACCAAGTCCTTATTAAGTTAAGAAAGCTTTTCATAGACATGGAACTTCACCTGAAAACAACAGCTGAAGAATCAAACAGATTATCAAAAATGTGATCTTATCACACACTTTTTTTTTTTTTTAAAGCTTCTATATACACGCCTACATATTCTCAAGAAATAAAAAGCGCTTGAGATAAGATGTGGAAATTGATGCAGTGTGAGAAGAATCTCATTTCAGCTCCTACCTGCTACAGAAGTAAAATCTAAGAAAAAAAAAAAAATCAACTTGTTCAAGCCTAACATTTAATAATAAATTCTCGATGTGTACTGAAAGTGAGTTAATTTACTCCATTTAGGATGCAAAAAGCAGCCAGTTAAATACCAAAATCCCTTTCAGAGCAAGAAAAATATATTATCTTTTTATTGACTGTAAACATTCAATCTAAAGAACAGTTGGAAAGTAAAGTCTAGAATATCTGCTTTGATTAGCCAACAGATGCTCTACAGAGTCAAAACTTACTCACTCCCTAAGCTTTGACTTTTACTGTTAACTCTAACAATAACAAAATATAAACCTAAGGTTTTTGTGCTTTGGTTTTTCTTTTTCCTCCTTCTACCTCAAACAGATTATACCTCTAGCAGCTCCCTAAACACTCTCTCTCCTCTAATGCTTAATTATACCTGCTTCAGGAAACCTTCCTATATTCCAGATAATTTCCACCTGCTTGCATGAGTCACCTGTTCGTACAGCTGCTTCCTAATGTTGGTGCCTTGCAACTGAGATAAGAATGAATTCAACAAATAAGGATCAAGAGGTGATTTGATTGCCTAAGATATTAGTGTCTTTCAATAATAAAAAAAACTTATTCCCTTATATAAACAAAATGATGGCGTGATCCATTAACTAAAAAAGTAGAAAAATTATGTCTTATATAAGTTAAAGGTATTTCATGCTGAATGTAAACTGGAAAGCTGTGCTGGGCTTTACTTCTTGATATTTAGTGTTAGATAGCAAAGTAAAGACCTGAAATTTCAGAACAGTAGACTTCAACTTACTTAGGAAAATGCCAGGTGTGATCCTATGGCAGCTTTAACAAGTAAAGTAGTTAGAGGAAGCTGGCAAATCTTTCAGGACCACATTCTATTAAGAGCAGTTCTTCCTAATATTCAGGAAGACTAGCAAAAATACCTGAAAATTGGCTTGACTAACCAGGGGACTTTCAGCACAGAGGCAACAGTAAGAGGTAATGTACAGGAAGAAGGACAAATACGGAATTTAAAATCATTACTTCATTACATTGGAACGGTGTCAGAAAAGCCAAAGGTTACCTGGAGTAGAAACTGGAAAATATGTTAAAAACAAGCAAAAAGAGCTCATGCTAGTACATTCATAGCAACATGCTGAATTAGCATGCTGGATGGCATGGGTGATTTAGTAACAGCCAAAACAGGTAAGGTAGAGACAATCAGTGCTTTCTTTACTAGCAGTGTTTTGTTTCTGAGTTTAGTGAAATGATTTAAAGATGAAAATCAATTGTGGTAGATGAGTTCAGTGATGAGTACAAGAACAATACAGATAAACCAGACCATGTGCAACCACTGTGATGGTTGGGGGTTGGAGCTCCTGCCCTTTAAGGAGAAGCTGAGGGAACAGGATCTGCTTTGCCTTAAGGAGAGATGGCTTCAGGGAAGCCAAAGAGCTGTCCTCCAGAGTTAGAAGATGGGGCTGGGCTCTCCACAGCTGTGCATGGTGACATGGTGTAAGACAGCAGGCAAAATTTGAAATGTGATTCAGACAGATATGAAGATAAACTTTTTCACCATAAAAAAAAGTCAGACACTGTAATGTGCCATCCAGGGAGTCCCTCTCAGACACCAGGGGTCTTCACGATCCAAGTGGGTAAAAGACATTTGGGCTGATCTCATGGCTGACATTGCTTTAAGCAATAGGCTGGTTCGTGTCATCCTACAGACAGAACTGAGCTTTGAATTTATTTGCCCTACTGTTCTCTATAGTCAATAAAGAGAGACCGGTCCTTCCAGTGAACAATTCACACCTAAATGGACTGATAAGCCTCTACTGGAGACCTGTTTATCTCTAGTGACTGCAGAGGGAGCTTAGATTAAAGCCATGGACTCAAAAATATTCAAATATCTTACTGTTTACAAAAAGCCAGCAAATATTTGTTTCAATTCATGTTTACATTTAGAATTTAAATGAAAGTAGGCATCATCTGATCTAATTTTAGTCCTTCTCTAAGTCCTGAGAAAGGAAAGTAAATATAACACAGTCAGTGCAAACAGATAAGAACATAAACCTATAAAGATTTTGTTGCTACCTCAGGAATTGCAGCTGCACAATGGGGTGTTGGCGTTACTTTCTGTAAGATGCCCCATGGGGAAAAAAAATAGTTATATTAAATCTCTTTCAGTAAATCATTAAAATGATAAAGAAGATTGACAAGATATTGCCAAGCCTTAAAAAGCAAACATACTTGAAATATTTCGTAGTAAATAAACTTTCAGTTGTCTGTGCAAGCATAGCATTCCGCAACAAAAAGGGGAATTTGCATTCACCAAGTAATAAGCTCCCATGAGTTCTTAAAAAGTGCACACAAACTCACGCACTTAAGAGTGTAGTAATGGACCACAGCAAGAACTGAGGTCCAGTTCCTCAGTCAATACACTGGAAGGAAGGGAAGCCATCCAGAGGGACCTGGACAGGCTGGAGAAGCGGGCCCATGAAAACTCAATGAGTTTCAGTAAGGCCAAGTTTAGGGTGCTGCATGTGGGTTGGGGCAATCCCAGGTATTTATACAAACTGGGGGAAGATGTCCTGAAGAGCATCCTTGCAAAGAAGGACTTGGGAGTCTTGGTGGATGAGAAGCTGGACAAGAACCAGCAGTGTGCGCTTGCAGCTCGAAAGGCCAACTGTGTTCTGGGCTGCATTAAAAAAGAGGTGGTCAGCAGGGAGAGGGAGGTGATTGTCCCCCTCTACTCGGCTCCTGTGAGGCATATAAACAGGAAGGGAAACGGCTGTTTACAAGGGTGGATAGTGATAGGACAAGGAGGACTGGTTTTAAACTGAGACAGGGGAAGTTTAGGTTAGCCATTAGGTTAGCTATTAGGTTAGATATTAGGAGGAAGTTTTTCACATAGAGGGTGGTGACGCACTGGAACAGGTTGCCCAAGGAGGCTGTGGATGCCCCATTCCTGCAGGCATTCAAGGCCAGGCTGGATGTGGCTCTGGGGCAGCCTGGTCTGCTGCCCTCCACATAGCAGGGTGTTGAAACTAGATGATCATTGTGGTCCTTTTCAACCCAGGCCATTCAATGATTCTATGATTCCTGTCAGTAGAGGACTCCACTCCACACTGCAGCAGCTCTGGTGGATGTAATTGCCCCTCACTAGCAAGATGCCAAAGAATTTTTTGGCTTCTTCATGCACCCTGATTTTGATCTCACAATATGAGCACTAAATAAGATTAGGCAAGCGTGCCCCTCTCCCTGCTGAGGGTCAATTTTCAGAGTCACAGCATTCTCACATGAGGGTCACCACAACTCTAAAGACCACTAGGAGAGCAGAACCTTACTGAGATTGACAGCTTTCACCATCTACAAATTTGAATATTTTAGCAATATGCTGCTTAAGTATTTGTCAAGAATTAATTTTTGGCACACAAAACAGCCAGCTAAAAAGGTCAGTTTTGCATCAGCAAAGAAAGATGAAAAACCTCTGCATTTTTGCCCTTTCCACATTATTTTGAAAATGTTCACTGTGAAAAACGCTCATCTTATCTAATCAATTTCTTTTTCTTAAATACCATATTACTAAACAGATCTTGGAATTTTTTATTAATTTTTATAAGCACCTACTCCTTCTCCCAGAATACACTGCTTCAGATTTATTTTGCTTTCCAACATGAGCCTTTACAACTACTGCTTCAGGGAATGCACTTTAGTTCTGGCCTCCCCAGCCCAATGCACCTCCATTTGTGCTGCATGCCCCTGTCCACAGCATAAGCTCTGGCTAAGTCACTAGGAAAATAAGCAAGGGCACAGGCTGCTAAATCTTTCTGAAGGTAAGAAAGTGCATTTTCTTGATATCATGTTTACCATCTGTAGAGTGAGAATAATTTGTCATTAAGATACAAAACTCCCTTTGTCTGTGATCCATCTTTCAAGAATGACAGAACTCCCCATTACCAAAATGGCATTATTTTTGTCCAGGGTAAAAACACTGTGAAAAAGATATTTTAGGAAATACCCAATCTTTGTAATTACAAATCAAATTCCTGTAATTTTTTAAAGAAAGCAATGCACTAAGTAGGCTACAAATAAATCAAATAAATTACTAGTTTTAATTAGGCATAACAAACAATTAAACAGATGACATTTAAAATTAATTTTTGCTACCGGAGGAAATACGAGATAAAATGGTGCTAAGAACAGTGATCTCCTGGTGGATATTCCTTCAAATGCATTGACATTCAAAAACATCATAGCATTTGCAGAGAAAAGTCTTTTTCCTTTTTTCCAGTATTTGAGATTTCACTTTTAGGTCAGGTTTTTTTCAATTATCAAACTTCCCTAGAAATGCTTCATGTCTTAAAGTTTCTGTTCAGCTCCATAGTATGTAATTGCCAAACAGCTGCACAGTCATACCAACTGCTGATAAAAAGGCATTACAAACTTCTAAGCAAATCATATTTATAATGCATAATATTCAAGGCCAAAGAAAATCAGTAGTACTTCAAGGCAAACTTCTGAAAATAGGGCAAGGGAATCTTGGGAAAGAGGATGGTAAATACTGCGTACCAATGAAAAGATGCAGCTGCCTAAAACATAACTGCCATGCAGTACACTGAAAAAGAGAATTACCTTACTTTTGAAGGCATTTTGTCTCCTAAATTAGAGTATTATCTACAGCTAACTGCTTTGAGGGCTGGACGAAAAACCCTCAGGACTCTATTCCAGCCAAGTCCTTTCCTGTGTACCTAATGCTGAGCACGGAGTTGTCTCTCTGACTCTACATATTTAAATACCTCAAAGATTAGGCCCTGGGAGATATTGCAGGCAGTTCAGAAGCCGCAGAGGAGATGCTCTATTTCCT